TCATTGGTTCCAAAATTCGATCAGGTGGTAGTAGGCATAGAAGAGTCGAAAGACTTATCGGTATTGACGAGGGAAGAGCTTCAAGGGACACTTGAGTCTCATGAACAAATGATGACTAACAGAGCTGCAGGAAAGTTGAAGAGTGGTATGGCTTTACATGCGCATTTAGAAAAAGAAAGGAAATGCAAAGGAAGTTGGAATGGCAACAAAGGTAGAAGATGCTACACCAATTCAACTGGTCGAAATCAGCATGAAGGAAACTGATGCAAAGCTGGCGAAACATGAAGAAGAAAAGATGTTATTGATAATCACAACAAGAGACGAAAAGAGATTCTAGGACCAGTGGTACTTGGACTCAGGATGCTCATCAAACATGACTGAAAAGAAAGTTTGGTTTATCAACATGAATCCTCGTCGAAGAACACGATAAAGTTTGCAAATGACAACACTCTAGCAGCTGAAGGTGTTGGTGATGTTCAGATCGCGAGGAAGGATGTTAAGAAATTAATAATTTCTAATGTGTTATACATACCAAGCACGAAAAAGTAACCTGCTCAGTATATGACAGCTTGTCGAAAAGAACTACAAAGTAGTTGTCAAAGACAAGATGATATGAGTTCTCAACGCAGGCGGTAGGTTGATTTTGAAGGCTCCAATGTCTCAGAATAGGACCTTCAAGATTGAACTCAATGCGAGGGAGCACGAGTGCCTAGCAACTGCAGCTGGCAGAAATGAGTGGTTATGGCATTTTCGACTAGGCTATCTCAACTTCAATGACATCAGAGAGCTGAAGAGAAAAAATATGGCTTAAGGATTACCTGAAATCGACATTTCAAGTGAAGTTTGTGAAAAATGTGTTTAGTCGAAACAACACAAGATTAACTTTATAAAGGATGCGGGATAGAAGTCAAAGTCAATTCTAAAAGTCACATATTGTGATGTATGTGGTCCAATCCAGGTGGATTCGATTGCAGGCAACATATATCGTGTCACGTTGATAGATGATTACAGTCGAAAGCTATGGACTTACCTCATCAAGAAGAAAAATGATTTGATCGAGGTATTTTCCAAATTCAAATCTATAGTCGAAAGGCATAGTGGTCGAAAGCTGAAAGTTTTGAGGACTGATGATAATGAAGAGTATGTGTCAAAAGAGTTTGATGCATTATATAAAAAACAAGGGATTATGCATGAGGTGGTGCCACCCTACACTCCACAACAAAATGGAATTGCAGAAAGAAAGAACATAAGCATCATGAACATGGTGAGAAGTATGTTGAATGGAAAGTATCTACCTAAAGAATTATGGGGAGAAGCGGTTTCGACAATAACATACATATTAAACAGATGTCCCACGAAGAAGCTTGAAGGAATCACACAAGAAGAATGTTGATTTGGTGTAAAGCCTAGCCTCAGTCACTTGAAGGTGTTTGGATCTATAGGACATAGACATGTGCCAAATCAGTTGAGAAAGAAGCTTGATGACAAGTCGAATCAGATGATCTTGATAGGACATTATTCGACTGAAGGTTACAAGTTATTTGACCTAGTGAATAAGTAGGTAGTGATCAGCAGGGACGTGATCATATACGAGCTTAAATAATGAGATTGGAATGAGAATGTCAAGAAGGATTCAATGAGAATCTCTTGTGAAGAACCAACCACTGAAGTCAAAAGAGAAGTTCGACAAGAACAAGTTAGAGACGAATCATCCCCAAGCAGACCTCGATGAACAAGACACATTCCTGCAAGATTGCAAGAATGTGTGATTGTATCATATGATATGGTCGATGAATAAGATGAGCTAATACATTATGCTTTTTGTGCAGATGTCGGGCCAGTAAATGCAGCTAAGGCATTGAAAGATTCTAAGTGGGTGAAAGCAATTAATGAGGAGTTAGACTCCATCGAAGTCAATAATACCTAGTCACTTGTCAAATTGCCTCAAGGCAAGAAGGCAATTTATATGAAGTAGAGTCACAAGGTGAAGGTGAATCCTAAAGGATAAGTAACTCGACACAAGGCGAAACTTTTGGTGAAAGGATATTTTCAGAAGAAAGGAATCGACTTCGACGAAGTGTTTGCACCTGTTGATAGGATTGAAACAATCATGTTGGTTGTTGGTCTAAACAATATAAACAATTGGCACACATGTCAGATGGACGTGAAATGTGCATTCCTTAATGCCCCCTTAGGCGAAGAAGTTTATGTCACCAAACTAGCTGGGCATGTGAGACTAGGTGAAGAAAGAAAGGTGTACAGGCTGCATAAAGCCCTGTATGGACTTAAGCAAACTCTAAGAGCTTGGAATAAGAAAATCGATAACTTCTTAAGGGAGAAAGAATTTGTGAAGTGCACAACTGAGCATAAAGTATATGTAAGAAGAAACAATAATGAATTGTTTATATTATGTCTCTATGTCGATGACCTGTTGATAATAGGAAGTTTTAAGTAGGAGATCAGAGATTTCAAACATGACCTAAGTGAAGAGTTTGAAATGTCAGACCTAGGAGACCATTCATATTTCCTTGGCATTGAATTCTACAAGTCTGGTAGAGGTTTGATGATGCACCAAAGAAGATATGCAGGCGAAATACTCAAGAGATTTGAGATGCAAGATTGCAACCCAACTTCGACTCCAATTGAGACCAGATTGCAATGTCGAAGGATTCAGATGAAGATGATGTCGACCCAACCCAATATATAAGACTTATTGGGTCATTTTGATACCTTTGTCACACAAGAACTAACTTAGCATATAGTGTGGGTATGATAAGTATATTCATGCAGAAGGAAAATGTATCACACCTAGCAGCGACGAAGAGGATATTGAGGTATATGAAAGGAACTCTCGACTACAGCATTTTGTTTTTTGCAACTAATTAAGGAAAACAATGCAAGCTTGTGGGATACACTAACTCAAGTTGATGTAGTGATCCTGAGGATGGAAAATCCACAACTGACTATGTGTTTATGTTAGGTGGTGCACGAGTTGCTTGGAGTTCAAGAAAGGAGCCAATAGTGACATTGTCATCATGTGAAGAAGAATACATAATTGTTTCTCTTTGTGCATGTTAAGCAACATAGATGGTGAACCTGATTGAAGAGTTATGGAGTAATTACCATGAAGATCGACAACATGTCAGTTATCAGCTTGGCGAAGAATCCAATAACACACGGTCGAAGCAAGCACATTGAAATGAGGTTCCATTATCTTCGAGAGCAGGTAGCAGAAGGGAAGATGAATTTGGAACACCGCGGAACTGAGAATTATATTGCAGACATCATGACGAAGGGAGTGCTAGCCGAAGTGTTCAGAAGGCTAAGGTTTATGATGAATGTAGACTGTTTAGACACAATGAATTAGGTGGTGTGTTGAGTTTGTAATTCCTTGTGTCGAAGCAGTGTAGCTCGACAAAAATAAAGATTAGTCAAATTAGCATAATGTGTTAGTGTGTCGAAGCAGGTTGCTTCACATAGGATTTCGACTTAGGCCTATTTTAGTAATGTTATCTATTTTGGGATTTACCTTGAGATGCAAGTTAACCTAAATCTATAAATAGGGAGGAACCCTTATCATAATAATATAAAGTTTGGTAATCACAGTTTTGCAGTTGCAAAGTGATAATAAAATTTCGTAGTTGTTGGCAGAGAGCTACTATGCAGTTCAAACTCATCTTTTTTAAACGTGTTTTTGTTTTTGTTCATTGTCATTACATAACAATCTTGAGATTAAGATTAAAAAGAATTCACCATAGATTGTGGTTGAATTCCAACAATTGTGTACTACTAGTCAAAAATATTTAAATCGTGTAACTTGTGGTAACATATGATCTCTAACTTTCACACATAGCTTAGAAGCATTTATTCTTTTGTTGAACTTACATTCCATATATCTCTACTTAGGTAAACACCATGTGATTCTAAGGATTGTCTCTAAGTCTTAAACCTCTCATTTGAACCTTTCTCCGACTCTTAAAGTAGAACTATATCATATGCAAAACTAATATGTTTTAGTGTTAGCTCTTGAATGTGTTCCCAAAGTACAACTAAAATCAAAGTATAAAGGTAAGGACTTAAGGTTGAATATTGGTGCATGCTTATTATCGTGAAAAAGTTATATGTCTCTCCACCCTGTAACTGCACTTTAGTCAATACCCCTTAATGCGTATCTGGGATAACTCGAATATAGACAGTACTAATATTTTATTTTCTAGAGTTTTTTCACAAGATCTCTTTAGACACACATTATCCATATCAATAAAAAATATGTACAAGTCTTATTGATCTATTTGACACCTCTTCATCACATGTCTAGTAAATATATCACATCTATAATAAAACTCTCAAACATAAAATCAAATTGATTATGAGTAATTCGAGTCTCTTTTTTAAGTCTCCGTTCAATTATTGTTTCTCATAAATTAATAGTACGACTCATAAATTTAATTATTCTATATTTTACATAATTTTATATTTTATTTGGTTCTTATAAATTAAAATTAATTTTTTTTCGTCTTTTTATTTATCCGCCATTTACTCTGATTTTATAATTTCGTTAAAAGTTTTGTAAATATCTCATTCAAATTTAACATCCATGTCTTAAAATATTTCCTTTTTAAATTCTAAATAATTCATTATTCTAAGAATATAGAGAAAGAAAAATATATGTAAAAAGTAAATTCAAAGAGATATACATATAAAACACAAACGACAACGTTTTACATATGAAGCATATCAAAAATACTTTTTTATCAGAGCCTGGTTTCGATCCAGGGACCTGTGGGTTATGGGCCCACCACGCTTCCGCTGCGCCACTCTGATTTGTTGCTTAACTTTCTATCAAAAGTTTATTTATTTAAAACACACAATCTAGGTAAACTAAATTTGGATCCATTTCATTTTCGGGCTATACAATTCGACTCGTTTAAAGCTTGTCGTTGGAAGCACTCAACAACACATTCAACTTTTGAAAACCGCATTTGCAAGAAATCAAAGATATGGATCCAAAATTAACAGAAGTTTCTCAGCTCTTCGATCGATTCAAGGCCGCGTTTCTCCGAAACGACTTCGATTCCAGCTCCAATCTCCTTTCACAGCTTAAGGTAATTCTAACCCCACAAAACCCTAATTTATTTCTTACTCTAATTACATTGTTCCTTCAGCATCAATAATTCACTCGCTTTTTTATAATAGTAATTGTGCGTTTTGGGTCAGATTTGTTCATGTAGTGTTTTTGTTGGTTTATATAGGTAATTTTTAACCCTAGTGAAAAATGTATGATGTGTTTTCAGAAACTAGGGTTTACTTTTGAGTGATAGTTATTTTTTGTTGATATGAATACTTCAAGCAGCTTGAATTCATTGTTCTGGTTTATATTGACCCAGTTTGGATTTAGATTTAGCTTCTGATTTTTTGGTTGTTACGAATGCTTCTAAGTAGCTTGAACTTGAATTCATAGTTTGATTTAGTGTTTAATGGACCTGCACTGAGAGTCGTCTAATAAAAAACCGTTGATTGGTTGTCTGTGTAATAAAATCATTTTAAAGTCACGGTGGTATTATAGGGTAAATGAGAGATTTTGAAAAAAAAATGTGATGCGGTGGTTAATTACAACTTATACGAGAAATTGTTGTTTAAAAAACTCTTAGGTATCATAAAAAATTTTGACATTTCTTTTTCCATATCCATTTGTTCAGAATTTTGTCCAGACGGGCTCATAGTCTTTAGTTTAGTACCATAACTTTTGAGCGACATTTTTCACTTGCAGGTTTTACTAACAGGGTTCAAAAGCCTTCCACCCTTGTTTGCAGATACACCTAATGCGGTTCAGGAATTAACTATAGCAAGTAATGGTCTTCATTCCAATCATTTGCTGTGTTCTTTTTCTTCCCTTTTTCTCTGTTCATGCTCCTGCATTCTTTTCTAACCCATACTTTTGTAATTTATAGAAGATCCACTGTTGATCAAATATCATTTCAGTAAATCTTAAGTTGGTATGATATTGTAAATCAAATTTAAATAGACTAGCTTGTCTGTGAGCTCTTTGTGATATAAATTGGAATTACTTTTCCATGTTAGCTGTCTTGGTTGGATGTGGATCTTGTTTTGCTCTTCAAACCATGAAGTAAGAAGATAGATAACTTTTCGATCTGGCTGCCGTGGACTTACAAGTTAGCATTTGTCTTACTGCACGGCTAATACCATATATTAGGAGAGATAAAAAAGAATAATAGTTATATTTTTTAATTTCTATAATTGGAAAGTGTTAGATGCTTCAATGAAATAAAATGATAAGCCATTTTCCATATCAATTACACAACATAAAATACTAAAACTTTTCTCCCCGTCACTGAGTCATATTTATTAGAATGAATAAGATAATAACTTATAAAATAATGAAGAAACAGTTCCTAGCTATTAGATCTTTGTCTGAAATGTGTTTATCTTTTCATGTTGGTTATTGGAATTTTCAGGGGATATATACGAGCATGCTGTTGTCCTTAGTGTAAAAATTGAGGATCAAGATGCCTTTGAAAGGGATTTCTTCCAGTTGAAACCTTATTATACTGATGCCCGGTAATTGATTCTTTCCCCTTTATTTACAAGTGCATAATATAAGTTTATAATCTCATCAAAAAACAATAGATATTTCCTGATCTCTTAACATTCATGTTTGAGTATATGCCATGAAACGTAAGTGTAGTATTGATATCAGAATGTGGACTCTATTTCCAACTCATCTGCTTTCTTGTTGAACTATTATAACTTATGGAGGTTTTTCATGTATTGCAGTAATCGTCTTCCACAGTCTCCACAGGAGTACCCAATACTTGGTCTCAACCTGTTGAGACTACTTGTGCAAAATAGGATTGCTGAATTCCATACCGAGTTGGAATTACTTTCATCCACTGCTCTAGAGAATCCTTGTATTAAGCATGCTGTGGAGTTGGAGCAATCTTTTATGGAAGGGGCTTACAACCGTGTCTTGAGTGCTCGGCAGACAGTGCCACATGAAACATATGTTTATTTCATGGATCTTCTGGCAAAGACCATCAGGTAAAAGTTGTTATCATTATTTCTTACCGGCTACCACACCTTGGCTATATGCTATTTTTCATTTTTTTGCATATCTAGATCAGTTTTCTGATTGGTCTGCATTGTTCTATATAACATCCAGAGATGAGATAGCAGGATGCAGTGAGAAGGCATATGACTATCTTTCAATTAATGATGCTAAGCAAATGTTGCTGTTCTCCAAAGACCAGGAACTCTTGGAGTATATCAATGAGGTGAGAATTATCATGACCCTTAGCATATCTAGTGAGAGCATGACTGGGAGGAATTATTATCATGACCCAAAGCAAATGTTTATTTCATGCTCTTGTGCTTTTCTTTGATGCGCATAATTCTCGTTTCATGATGTTGGTTATAAAATTATTATCGACTGAATGCAGGAGCACCCTGAGTGGGAAATTAAGAACGGTTCCGTCTTCTTTCAAAAGGCAAAAGAATCTGCACCTTGCAAAGAAATACCATCTCTGCAACTCATCAACCAAACACTTAGTTATGCTAGGGAGTTGGAGAGGATTGTCTGAAAAGAATGCATGCAAATGGACTTGAGTTTTTCAGAAAGTTGTTCACTTCTGATTCATTGTGGAACTAAAAACTGATTTTATCTTTGTATTGTTTCTTGGTGTACCTTTTCCTTTTATGTGCTAATATTATAAACGTGACTATAACTCCAATTATTCGGCAAACTTAAATAATTACAATGACACAACAAAAGTGTATCAATGAAAATGATAGTAAAAGTTTCTGTAATTGATGCAACAAAACCAATGGTAGCTTTTCTTGAAATGATAATAGAAGTTTCTACAAATGATGCAATATAACTTAAACGACAATAAAAATTTCTGCAAATATGACAAATTGTAACATGCTTTTAATTTTGTCTAAATTTAAATATGTTATAAGACGGTTAAATGTCCAGGCTTATTAACCTTCCATAGGAGGTCTAATAACTTGTTCCATTTAATGATAATTACTCTTGCGTGCGTGATATATATTCATACTTTTCCCATTCACTATCCTTCAATTTTGATCTCTATCACTTATTTGAGTGATGGATTATTACTTCTGATGATTCACCTTTTGTGGCTATCATGCAACATAATTACAGCATCATATTAGGAGTCAAACATTCTAGCTCAATTATAATTCATGTTGTGATGCAACACAACACAATGACGTTTTTTTGTGAGAATCAATATTTGATTTTAGCAATTTTTATGATGAAGTACGTATGATGCAAGAGTCAATTTGTTATGATGTGCGACGTAGCAATAAGATGAGAGAGATGGCATATGTGTATAATTCCTTAGTGTTTTTCGCTATGACGTCCTTTCAAATTCTTGATGTAGATGGTGCCAAGAGGAATTGTCACATGAAGATAAGCTTTTGCAGTCAAACTCTTGTTGATATGCACAAGCACCAGATCGGGGATTAGAGGACCGACAAAACCCTTGATAAGAAAACGTTGAAACTGTGACTCTGGCGATGATGGAGATCCCAATAGTTTGACACACATAGGGATCATCAGACTCACAAGAACACACCGCATAAAATAGGTCGAATGAAGGAGCAAATTTTGTGTGGTATATATTGATTCTACAACTCATCAAATGTGGGAGAACGAACTCTCTAGAGTCGATCGAAAAACAAATAAGTAGAAGGGAAGCAAGGGCATGCCACACCGGTGTATTTTCCAAGAAATCGTGTTTGAACTCGTTCCCTCAAATCATAGGCCAGTGATAAACACTAACCGCAACCTCGAGCAATATTAAATATAAATACTTTAAGAAATACACTTGGATTGAGAATTATCTTAATATCCATTTGATATGACTAATGTTGTAATATACCAAAATGCTGCGAGTTATCCTATTTCTTTTGAAAAATAGGGTCGAAAAAATGTGTCGAAGTTGATGCATCCCCTTAGGAGTTAGCCACTCAAATGGCATATGCGGTAGAGTATGGATACGTCTACCTCAAACTAGGCTAGAACCTGGAGGCAGGGAACGGGGTCCTACTCTTGGTCGGGGAAGTCTTCAGTGAAGCTAGAGAATTACAACAATTTCTGACTATAAGGTCAGGTAAAACTAATGCCAACTCATTATTAACAAGATATGTGAGAACTACGTCAGCTCCCAACTAAAGGGACGAGTAAAACTCATACAAGCTTCACGCCAACTTCTAACAAAACAAAGAGGAAACAAAAACAAATCTAGCTTATACAACGTTAAGCTCAAGGGCGAGCAAGTCTGTAAATAAAGAAAGTAAATTCTAGGAAGTCAAGTCCTTTAAAGTAGATATGTAGTGGACAAGAAGTTTAAATAATTCAAAGAGATAAATTGTTAGAAGATCTGAAGGGGTAACAACAACACGCGTGATGAATCAACATGAAATGTTATAAACCAATAACCTTTTCGAGATCCTCACCATCCATTATAATGGCACCATCCTGGACCATTTTCTCTAGATCTAACACCGACCGAGGAACCAGATATCCAGTCAACAATTCCACTTGATTGATAACATCCTCAAAAGTATTGAAGACGAATTTAAACCCTTAACCCATGACCTTATTGACCTTCTCTTGCATTATCTTCAGCTTCTCGATATGAAGTTATCGCTCTTTATCATAAAAATGCTTGTCGTTCCACAAAGCCTTTTCAGCTACAGCCAGATGAGAAGCCAACACCGTCGAAGTAACCTTCGACTCCTCAATGGTTTTGTCTTTGGCCTCTAGAGGCGTTTACAACTAAGACACATAGACAACCAGGGTAGAGGGTGTGTCATGGGCGCTCACTTTCTTTTATATACCAGACATCTTATCCACTTCTTTCTGAAGCTCAGAGATATTCTCCCATGACCACGACCAGTCGTGGGCATCTACATCATACTTACCTTTCCAAAAATCAATATTCTTAAAGGGATTACTCGAAGTAAGGACATCACCTCAATCGTAACGTCTTTAGACATCAAAGAAGCGCTTCAAAGCACAGGAAATTAAACCTCCAAAACCAGCTTCATTTTTCAGCGTTAGGAAGATTCTAGAGGAGTGGGTGGAGCCTTAACAATAATAACATCAAACTCGACCGGGGGCATTAGAATGCCTGAGTCTTTTACTAGGATTCTCTTCCCCCTCCCCTGAGAATGTTTGGATTTCGTCATCAGTTTCGTGACTCTCAAAAGGTGTGTGGATATTGGAGGGTGTAAGACATCAAGAAACTTAAAAGGAGTAGGTGGAACCCCAACACTAGTGATAACAAGTTCAGTGGGGAAATATTATAAGGCTGAAGTCTTTTATTAGGATTTCCTCCTTGAGAACATTCAGATTGCATAATCTTTTATCATTATCAATCGAAATATGACCTTCTAATCCTTCGTTTGAATTTATTGAAGAAGTTAGATTCTAAGAAAGAAGGACCGAGGAAAACTAAGTGACTGATAAATCTCCAATTGTGAGGGCAAAGTTCTTTTATTACTTTGCTTTAATGATGTCAAAACTAGGAAATTTCATACTTGTGTACTTTGGACGGTATCTCCTTGTATAAACATTGCATTCATCATTTCTAAACGCGCATAATGATCCACATACATAAATCTAGGCATATAAGAACATACTATATGTGTAAAATGTGTTTTAAGTCATTTTTAATGCATTAGGTCAACAAATTCAACGGAGTGAAAGGCTTGAAGAACAATGGATTTGGTCAAGCAAGTAACGGTAACTGGAGGATTGTGTTGAAAGATTTAGAGTCAAACAACTTGCGATTGAAATCAGTCGAGTGAAAGACTTGTAGAACGAAAGGTTTTGTCAAGTGAGTATCGGTAATCGTAGGTTTTTTCAAAAAGTTTTATGACTTGATTCAGCTGGAATCAAGAGGAAAGAAGTGGATATAATCAACATAACCAATTAGGTTTGATTGTGTGGTAGCTATAACTTCTCTTGTAATTGAATTTTGCAACAAATATTATACATATCTCATTTCTAATTTTAGAATTGGAGGCAGACGTACCCGGAGTGAGGACGAAAGGAGAACTACCTAAATAAATTGGGTGTCGCTCTCTCTCTCTCTATCTATCTATCTATCTATCTATCTATCTATCTATCTATCTATCTCTTTACTTTACATTGTTAGAGTTTGTGTGTGATAAACTGTTAAAAATATTTCAATTGATTTGTAGTGTTAAAAACTGTTGTGAAAACCCATTAGAATCACTTTGATTGCAAGTTGTGAAAAATTATGCACTACAAATCAAAGGAAATTGTTTTGGAGTGTTTTGTATGCCAAGTTTTTGATAAATTGATAACACACCAACTGTTCGACATATTGTCAATTCAATTTTATTCACTATAAATCATTGGAAATTGGTTCACCTTGAGTGGTTTACATTTGAATAATTCGCTGTGAAAATTATTGATTCGTTTATCTCATCAATTTTATTCCATTCAGTTTCGCATATCTAATCTTACCAATAACGGTTCATTTTGACGATTTTGATTCAACGTTGCTTTCGCACAATTTTGTAAAACAGATTTTTATTGCGCGAAGTTTTAAAAATTAGTGATATATTCAACCTTCTTTTTAGATCAGTCTCATCGTCTAACAAGTGGTATCACGAGCACCAGTTCATTAGTGCTTCACATATAACTGATTAGAAAACGACTAACAAACCCAAAGAGGCGTATAATATAGCGTCGATTTTTATTGGCAAAAACTACAATTATTGGAAAGATTGTTTGAGGGTGTATTACATTCTATTGATAGAAAGGTATGGAACGTTATTCAAAATGGTCCTATTAAAATAACCATGACCAATGCGAATAATGTTGTTGTACCTAAACCAGAAGCACAATGGAACGAAGAGGATGAGAAAAAATACAATTATGATTGGAAAGCTAGAAATATTCTCATATCCTCCTTATGAGTTGATGAATATTATATAGTTTCTCATTGTACTACTGCTGAGGCTATGTAGGACGTGTTACAAGTTATCCATTAGGGAACTAATGATGTCAAACTAACTAGAATCAATACTTTAACTCAAGAGTTTGATCTCTTTCACATGAAGCAAGATGAAACCATTGTGAAAATGCAAAAGAGATTTACTCATGTAATTAATCGTTTAAATGCACTTGGTAGACCTGTTTCCAATGATGTTGCTACTAACAAAATTTTGAGATGTCTTAATAGGGAATGGAAACCTATGGTGACGAAGATCAAGGAAGCTAATGATCTCATGATATTGGACATCACAACATTGTTTGGTAATCTTGATGAACACGAGCAAGTGCTCATAAGTCTTGACCAACATGAAAAGAGAGAAAAGAAAGAGAAATATCAAAAGACACGAACAAGAAGTCTATTGCTCTAAAGGCTTCTAGCTTAAAGTCCTTAACTAAAGAGCCTAGTGAAAGTGAGTCTAGCGATGATGATGAAGAATCGAGTGAAGATATGGGGTTGTTTGTGAGAAGATATAATAGATATATCAGAAAAAATGGTATTCAACATTCGAACAAGAATCTCAT